CCTGGGCATAAGTGAAACCCCAAAGGGAGCAACTGTAATGGTCAGCTGTGCTGTTTATGTAACTGAAGTCCTGCTGTCTGCATCGCTGCGTGTAGGGGTTGCTGGAGACACAGCACACGCTTCTCTCCTTTTCATTTCCATACTGCTTGACTGTTTACCTTCAGGGCAATACTTCTCTGATGACCACTGAATTGAGACATTATAAAGTAATGCAGAGGTTGTGCTGCTTTAAGGAAACTTGCCCCCTTCAGTAAGGGCAGTGAAGATATTTGAATTGTCAAAACGTGCTTTTTTCATTGTGTTTATAAACAAATTTTATTTTTCTTTGTGGAAAGAAAAATTGCATATTGCACTTTTATTTAAACAATGCACTTCTTGTAGACCTGAAAAGCAGCTGTCCTCTTTGGTTAAATGGTTCAAGGTACGGGGAAAGAGCATATATAGACAGTGATTTTGATTTTGATTACAGCCTATTTTTGTTTGACAGGATGGAAAACTAAAGGAGAGGTCATTGGTGTGCTCAGGGGGAGAAGCCAGTGTAGACCTTTAATGTCTCATTCACTTTGGTAGTATGAGAGTTTCTGAAGGACCTCAACCAAAGTTAAATAGCATGTTAAATCTGGTGTTCCTGCTCAGCAAGGGGCTGAACACATCACTGTTGAAAGACACCGGACTGGAAAAGAGGAGAGGGAAGAGACAGTAGTATGTGTGTTACAGATTGGAAATGGTAAGGTGTGGAGACATTTACGGTGTGTTATTCTGGAGAAGACTTGGGACTTGAATTGCAGCTCATAAAATTGTCACGTCTTGAAGTACTGTGCTCAGGCCAATGAAGACTATTAAGAGCTGCATCTGTTAATTCTGGAATTAGCTACATAACTTTGGTACCATGAGACAGGCTGGTCCTATGGCTACTGTCAGAAGTTCAGTACAGATTTTCGTTTCTTCCCAGTTGCTCACACTGCTTCTCCACCAGCTTTGAAGTGACATTCCCTTTTCTAGCAGGATTGGTCCTATGCCATTAGACAAACTCTGGGTTCTTTCACTGTTGATTCCAAATCTAACAGAAGCCAACGTGGCTCATGAGTGTTTACTTCTTTGTTTGTGCATTGGCATTATCGTTGAACTTCACCAGTGAGAGCGCTTGCCAGGACTGAACACAAAATGTAAATGGAAGTAGATGTATTGTTGGAAACACTGGTAAACAGTTCCTTCGTGGCCGTACGTCAATGCTGGGAGCATATGGGGAAGTTACTCTTGATTTGCTGTGAGAGCTCTGAAACATGCTGCAGTTTCATTGCCTGAGTAACCCATAGGCTGAATCTGAAAATCACATTTTTCATTAAAATGTCCTTGTTTGTGCCTCTTGCCAGTAGTGATTGGCTGAGCAGGGACGTCCGCTTTGACACCAAGCGTATGAGGGCTGCCTGTAGGAGGTTGAAATTCTTGTTTCCGACCTGATTTATAAGTGGTTTATACTTTAAGCTTTCCTGTTTAATAGTTAAATAAACTGTTTAATGTTTAAAAAGTAAAATTCTTCTGATAATTAAACCAGCATGCAGGAAAAAAGCTGAGCCACATCTTGGCTGAGCTTTTCAGTGTGTTCAGACACACAGTTCAGACCCCACTTCTGCTCTGAATGAGCTCCTGCCCGCAGAGCACTGTGGAAAGCCCGTGTAACCCAGCACTGTGTGTGAGCACTCACCTCACAAGTGTATTTTTATATCCGCTTGTCTCCTGTTCGCAAAACAGACTGACAAGATGGTGGGGAACACAGTGCAGGGAAAAATACTAATAATGTTGGGGAGGAAGATACATGGCTTGGCAGAATTTTCCATCTACTTATTTCTGCTGTTGCTGTGTTACTGTGTGAATCCAAAACTGGCAGATCATTTATGCGCACCTTGTGTACCACCTTGATTTTATGTTCTGCCCTGGAATACACCCTGTTCGTGGCATTCTGACACTCTGCAAATTACAAGGGTACCCAAATAGTGACAGTCACGAAAACCACCTACTTACAGCTATCAAGGATATCGGGCTCTTTCTCGTTCCCTGTGGGGCACATCACTGAGATCTACGCTTGGTTCTAGGTAAAACAGTGTTTTATTTTCCTTTTTACAATAAATAATGCAGCATAGGAGTGGGAGTTAAGGGAGTCAGAAAGTAAGAACCCTGCTGCTATAAGCACCTTGCCCTGCAGCCTTCCACAGGTTATCGGTAAAAGTCTTTCCTCTTGCTGCATTCAGAACGTGTTAGAAAAATCTTGCAACAACATATCATACCATAATCATAAAGAGAAGATGACAGCTTGCGTCTGATAAATAGCCAGAATAAGAGGGTGAATTTTATCCTTTCTGTTTCTGTGATGTGTACAGCATCTTCAAAAGCAGGGTAATAAGTTTTTATAGCTGTGAGAGGCAGAGATGAAGCTGAGTATGTAATTCAGCCTCAGTGCTCTGAAGGTTAATATTATGAGCAGCCTGCAGCAGAATGGCTGGAGCTTGAAGTAGCAAAACAATACAAAGTGGTTTTGGGGAGGGAAAAAAAAATCCTAATCAAAAAAGCAAGTGCATGTAGATGGAGATCAAAAAGCAAGGCTGTAGATGGAGATCCTGGCTGATTAAAAAGTTGCGGTGTTAGCAAAGGGTGTTGAAATGGGTAAAATAAAAAGCAATTAGTCACCAAAGAGTTTGTGTAAAAGCAAGATATGGATTTGGTCAGTCTCAGAATAGTTCACACGTGAAGATGGGAAAAACAAGTAGGCAAGAAGAAATGGAGACAGGCAATTTTAGGAGCTCCTGAGACAGGGTAGTGTAAAGGGTGTTACTGTCTTGAAAATTGCTGTTGGCTGCCTTGTGGCAGTGTCTTCTGAGCTCATTAGCAAGATAGTGATGATTTCACTGGCACAGTTACTTTGCTGAATCTTTTCTTGCATTTGGCATTTTTGTTTGCTCATACTTTATTGGAAGGGGTTATTCAGGAGTGCTAACTCTTCAAAAAAAAACCAAACCAAAACACCCCACCAAAAAATTGACCCTTGAACACTTTTTGCCATGCAGACATGCTCCAGAAACGGCCATCAGTGATTCCATTTGGATTTCTCTGCTTTTTGAGCAGAGGCCTCCATGCATCATATACCCTGCTGTTTATAGAGGTGGCTATACATATGGTGTGGAATCTCAGCCAGGGTTTGAAACTGCCTGTGCGATCCAGGCACAGTGAGAGCCTTAGGAATTGAGCTTCATTTATGGAAGTTGTCCATGGGTTTTGGAGATGCCCTGGCTTTCTGTGGCCAGAAAAGATTGCTAAGCACAGAGGCTGGAAAACAGCCAGGTGAGGCACAGGTAGCAGCAACCTCTGTTATATTAATACAGTTGGAAAAAAGCTGCCTTTGCTTGCTTTGCTGAACAGTAACTTGTGAACTACCTGAGGTTTCCTTGTGACTCTTTGACAGTCAGAGAGCACAAGGGGGCCCTTGTTATAACTAACTATTGCATGAAATACACCATGTAGTACTCATGTCAAAATACTGAGCAATTCAGGTGAAAGAGAATCTGATCTCTAGCCTAGAGAAGGGTCCTGTGGTTGAGAAAGAAAAGAACTAGTTTTCTAAGATCACCCGTTCTAAACTAGGCTTTCCTGCATGAGTGACAAAAACTGTGTGGTGCTGTTTATTCTGGCTTTTCCAGTATGTCAAAATTCTGCTGATTTTTACACCTTGTATTGGCCCCTGGTATGTAGGCCCTTCTTTCCAAGCATAGCTCACAAGGGACACTCAAGAGAAGTGTTGCTTACAGCAAGCTAGCCTGAATCCTCTCTTTGGCTCTTGCGTTTTATGCCCGCAAAAGCAATGGTGAGTTTTTTTCATCATCACTTGAAGGTGTAGGGACAGTCTGAAAATTCATATACCAGGTCCCTGGAAGCCCAGGCCTGGTGACCCTGGAGTCTCCTGATGTACCTCTCAGTTGGAAGAGGAGTCATCTTTTTATGACCAAAGTTAAGACTACAGCCTAAAAAATGATGCCTTCAAGGACATAGAGGAGGCAACTGCCTGTTCTGAGCCCTCCAATCAGCTTATACTGAAATGTCATGGTCAGACATCAGCGTAGTGACTCCTGTGAAACGACAGTAGCAGATACAGTCTTGTTACATAGAACTTCACTGCTATCACTAGGGACTTTGCTGCAGCCTCAGCAGAGTTGCCAAAAATATAGAAAGGCAGGGCTGACTGACAGTTACTCTCTTCAAGGTGATCTGTGTGGATAGACGTCAAGGAAAATTGACAGCAGCATCTGTAGGGTCATTATCTGGGATAATCCTTTTCTGTGGTGTGTAGGCTCTGCTCTCAAGCAGTTTTCATTAGTAGTTTATCTACTGCAGTAATTAGAAAAGGGCTGTTCTTTGCAGTACAACCTCTGTCCACAGCCCATGGCCTGATCCTGGTGGTTTGTTCTTTCCTGGATTCAGTGGTGTCCTGCTTCACAGTACAGTGACTGAGAGCAGTCTGAGGACACGGCAGCATGCAAAGGATTTCCGTTGGATGGGATGAGAGTTCCCAGAGCCTGTCTCTGGAAGCTGGGCATAGGCTGATATAGTTGTTAGGGGACGGCGCTCCCTGTTTGCACAGTTGGCCTGTTCTCAAGCCCTGCATGAACCAGCAAGACTGTGCTGTGTGCACCCATTGCAGACACCCTTTGGGACTCTCCATTCAGGGGATCACAGGGCACTTCATAAGTTCAAGTACTCACTTTGTAGATGAAGTCCAGAAGTAATGAGTGATTCCTGAAGATTAAAAAGCTAATCAGAGGCAGAGCAGAGAACAACTAACACTTGTCATCTGCCTTGTCATTTTTCCTAGTAGGTTTTTGCAAAAAAAAAAAAAAAGGACAACATTAAAGTAACATTTACAGATGGCTGATTTTTGAAGTGTAAACATCTAAACCAACACATTAACTGTTCTACCTACCATTGACAAACTTTTTGATGTTTGTTTCCAGGAACACCCGTCTGGTTCTTTGTGAAAATTGCTCCAATCCGCAATGAGCAGGATAAAGTGGTTTTGTTTCTTTGCACTTTCAATGACATAACGGCTTTCAAGCAGCCCATTGAGGATGATTCATGTAAAGGTTTGTCTTTTTCACAATTATATATTTATGCTGCTTCTGTTTGTTTGCTCTGGTCCCGAAAGAGCTGAAGTCCTTTAAATACCAAAGCTAAAGAATTAGATGTTAAAATAGCTTGTAGCTGTGCCACTGGGGACTGTATTAGTGCAAGAAGTGGTTGCTGGGTTCTTAAGTGAATTGGCTCTGGCCTGCACTGGAAAGGGTCATTACTAATGAAACCCCCAAGTGTTTCAGGAAACAGAGTTTACTTAGCAAATAGGTGCAGCTCTTCCTTTTAAATTCATTATTAATCCACACTCCAACATAGCCTTCAGGGAGTCACAGTCTTGCTAAATAGCCTCTCTGATGTCAGAAGGAACAGAAGGATCTTGGGCCCTGTACAAATTGTGCATGACCATATGCAAAAACTAAGGAATTAACCCTGGCTGAGTCTAGCAAATATCTGAATAATGCCATTCTGTCTGGCTTGATGTTAATTACCATTATTATGGGATTCTTTAATATAAAGTTCTGAACAAGTTTCCTTTAACATATGTGAAGAGACTCCCATCAACGTAAGTTGAATCAGGTTTAAACTATCCTGGTGACTGAAGTAGCATTGCTGTGTTTTGCTGTTAACCCTTTGCTAAGTTACACCCTGGAAACCTGGAAGCAAACTCAGCTGTGACAGTGGCATAAACTTGCACTCAGGTTCAGATCCTGTCAGAAACAGAGCTTTTGTACTCATGTGGAGAATTACAGAGACTTGCGTCCTCTGGGGTAAAAAAAGACGTACGTTCTTCTGTTGTTTGCATTTTTGTAGTATTTAATAATATTTGTAGTATTAAATTAAACAGGAAACTTAGTGTGAAGGTGAACTGATTTACATTTATGCTCAAAATATTATTCTTTAAAAGCGTAGTTTCTCAAAGTGGAACACCTGTTACCACGAAAAAGGAAGTACAACCTTGACAAACATACCCTCCTCCAGTTTATGTGGTGGTTTTTTTGGTTTTTTTTTTTTTTTAATGCTATTTACTTGGTTTTTCATTGCTTTAAAAATGTGTCTTGTCAGAAGGGTCGGGTCTGTAGTATTTCTTTCCCGGCCCAGTGGTCTTTGCTCTATCCTGATGACGACTGACAGGAAAAACAAATCAACTTCATGCAGTAAAGCTGGGTTTTGGTTATGTGCTGGGAGTGGAGGCCCTTGCTTCGTTTAGTCAGTGATAAGGAGGACTTTGTCAGGGGGGGTAGCTGTGTCTTTTCTCTTTGCTTTCACAGAAGATCCTTAGTGTGATAGTGATATGTACTCTTGTGAAAAGAGTTTGTCCTCCACTTTAAACACAAGGGAACACTAACTTTTTTTTTCCCTCCAAGAGAAGTATGCTGAAGGAAGGGAATGCTAACTTTATTTTTTAAAAATCTCCTTTGGATCTTGAAATCATGCTGTTCTTACAGTGATCATGGTAATTCTTAGGACTTCCACATCGAAAGCAATGTAAGCATTAAACCTACATATAAGTGCACCAACTTGCAGAGGAGTTAAGATAAGCAAAATTTCTTCACCTGGCCCATAGAAACTGGCTAAGTGACTACTAAAGGCTGTAGACAGCAGAACTGGACACTGATTCACAGCCCTGCACTTCTTCTCTTGAGTGCTATGACTTTATGTACAGGAGAGTTCATGCACTAGAGAAGTCTTCAAATACTGTTTCTAAATCTCCTAAAAATTAACGAAGTTGTGCAGGTTTCATGCTGGTAAAGAGTTTTTTTCTGTTGCTGTATACACAAGTCAAAGGTGGTATAAATGAAACTGCACATTCTGTTCTAAGTCTTAATCTGTCCCTTACGACTGCCTTTCTTCTGTAGGTTACTTGCTATAGGCTAGCTTTGGAATTTTGTTGCATACATCTCAGGAGGTGATATTGTATCAGTCACTTGATGGCTAGATAAGCAACCTCTTGAAAAACAAGGCTGATTTTTCAGTTAAAGAATTTTACATGCATGACCATGTCTTTAATATTAGAGCTCATTGTGCAATTTTATACAGTGAGGGGGGAAAAAAGACAGGTATGTAGTGTTGGACAAATGTCTGCAGTGGGATCTAGGATTCTTGGAGAGGGAAAACATTTTTGGAAGACCTAAAAAAGGTACAGTTGTATTAGCTTCTTCTCAGAATCATTGCTGTTACAGATCTGAACTTTGAAGGGGGCATCGTCTTTGTACGATGAACAACATTGCATAGGATTTTTTTCGCATGCTTTTGAAGGATAGCAATTTTCATGGGAATGTTTCTCATATTCTAAACCCAAATGAACTCCCAGTCTGAAAACCTAAAACTGTGACTTAGAGATTTATTATTTAATTGAAACAACTGAAAACTCATTGCTATATCAATTATTTTTCCTTCTTTCACCTTCAATCAGCTTTTAGCAACTGCTTTTCTTTAACTGTGTCTATATGTGAAATCAGTTTCTTGCGCTTTTGACCACATAATATGTAACAGGCTGCCTGAAAATGCAGGTATTTTTTTAACATATGTGCTATTTGAATAAGTGCAGAGTGGCATAGCATAAAGTATTTGTGTTTTTTTCCAAATCAATGCCTGTTTGTCTATGTACAGAAAAACGTCATGTCGTACAAGAACATGGTCAATTTAAAGAGCAACTAAACCTGCTTAGCTGTGGTATATCTTAGTTGTCTATCACCTGCTGGCAATTTCAAGCATGGTTGTTCAGCTGCAAATGATGTAGTGACTCGGTGGGTGAGAAGTGTTCAGCTCTAATGGCAGGTGTTTTGAATTGTACAGAAAAATGATTAGGCATTTTTATCCAAAGGCGACTCAGAGAGATAGGTCTCAGTACTGTTTTTCAGTCTTAATATTTTTATTAATATCACCACACACTGAAATAGCTGAAACAAAAAATATTTCTGAAGTAATGTAAAAAGTAGACTTATAATTATAGTTTTTATTAATTGATTCAGATAATTTAGATGATGTTTATTTTATGACTGCCATAGAAGTTGATTTGCTTTAAATGAAACAGCTTTAAAAATAGCACATTCTAAATAAAACAAAAATAGTGTCAGTCATGTCAGTGATATAATATTTTTAAACGGCCTCTTTCCACTCTTCCCTATATGCTTGTCCCTTTAAAAAAAAAAAAAGGAAAAAATAGGTTTACTTGAATAGAAGTAGGCAAAATCAAGCTATAGCATAGCTAAATTTGGCTTGTAAAGTGATAGGTCACCTTCTTAGCTGAATTTTAGTATATAGGCTATATTTGGAATTTATGCATTTTGTCTGTGTATGTCTCTCTTGGTTAGAGATCTAATATACCAAATATGAGATGTTTGAGAATAGTGTATAAAGTGGAATGCATCACTTTATGAAAACAATAATTTGTGCAGACAAACAGAATCTGTTCCTGCACTCTGAGTAGCTAGTAAGAAGTTTGCCTGAACAGGTTTTGCATGTATGAATACAATGTGAACGTATTCAGATATGTTTATGCTACTTCAAAAGTTTGGAAGTTATGCTTTGGATCCTAATTTTTGCTTTTGATACTTTGTTTTTATACAAAAAGGTGATCAAATTCAACATTACTGAATCATACAGGCAAGTAGTTGTTAGCTTCCTAGCTATTGTAACCTTCTGTGCTTTGTAGCAATCATGTTATCTTGTCTGCAGAGGAAGCCTTATTTCATTTTGCAGCTAAGCTGTACTTTGCATCACAAGTAGGGCTGCACAAAAAAATAATATTTTGATTGCCTCCTTCATCTTAATTCAGGGAAAACTCCAAGTCTTTTTTTCCTTTTTGTTTCTGTTATTTTTGTTGCTGTCTAATTTTTTGTTTTGTTTTTAAAGATGTATTTATATGAGCAGAGACAGTGTTTGAAATATTTTGATTAAGTTACAGTGTACTTTCATCTAGATGAAATGTTTTCTTAAAAAAGGAAACAAATGAAAGGGAAGTGGTGGGTATATTAAAAAACTTTGGTGTGCTTTCCCAGTCCAGATGGAAAAAAAGACAGTTTTCGTGTTTTGGGAAAGAGCATTAAGACTGCAGAGAGGCATGATGGATGTAAGCAGGGATCTTTGATGTGCAAGAAAACAAAGGTGGTTTGAGCAGAGGCAAGAGCTGCTAGAATCTTGATTTACTTGCATTCACACAGTTTTGTGGGAACAATAGACCTGCGACCAAAAGAACTTGTTCTCTAGCAGGCAATAGCTCCTTGTTCTAACTCTAGGCATTGTGTCAGTCATGGATCAGCAACTTGCTAACAAGGGTTCGATAACTGCCACAGTTCCTAATGTTTGAATTTATGAGTCATCATGATCAAATTGAGGAGAGTGGCAAGAAACAAAGAACTACCTACGAATAAATAATAAATGTTGTTGAGGGTTGAGTATCAACATACCATGCTCACCTGAAAATACAGAAAATTGGTTTCTTCAACTTCAGTATTGTTAAACGAAGCTTCATCCCTTAAAGAAGGCTGATGAGTTAAACATCACATCACACAGGTGTATTTCAATGCTATGTTTTCCCATGAAACAAAGCTCAAGGGACAGCTTTTGTCCCTGTTATAGGTATCTAGTTGTCTTGGGTATTTTCAGAAGCAGTTTGTATTAAGCTTTTTGCAACGGAATGGTGAAAAACTAAAAGAGCATCATGGAATGCAGGACAGCTGAGATCAGTGCTGTTATCTTGAAGACTCTTCATCCTTTTGAAGCTGCACGTATTTTAGTGCAATGTTATAGCTTTGTCCCTGCTTGATATTTTCTGCAGAACTGAAAAAGGAGACCAAACAATGATTAAAAATGGGTTAGAATCCAAAGACAGAGGATGAGTGGATGTAGGGATATACCAACTGCTTGTGTTGAAAGAGAACTCCTAATCCATATAATCTGGTCCACCTGTCCTAGCAGGATTAACAACAATATATTCTTACACCATTCTGAAATCTAGTTTCTTGTCTTGGAAAGCTCCATTTTTTTCCTGTAATCAGCTCCATGACCCTTAGAATTTAATGTTTATGTTCTCTCCTGTGGCTTAAGTCCATTATTTGACCTGTCTTCACTGGATAAATATCTGACTTGCTGTAGGCTGTGTCTGTACTTAGGCTTTTGGAGGAAAAAAATGCAATAAATCCAGCAAGTACTGCCAGTTTTTCAAGCAATATTGGAGAAGTTGTTTTTCAATAGGATTAGTACTGGCATTCTCTCTCATTTTCATTTTCTTTTTCCTCTGCCAGAATCTGCAGGTCTACTACTGTGATTGTACTTCGAAGTTCCCACATTTTTATCTTCCATTCACACACACACAGAAGGCAATACAAGGAGGAGGGTCTTCATAAGGATGAGATTCATACACCTGGGACATTTGCACAGTGATTCAGTGCCTGCTTTTAGGCACATCATCACACAGGGGCATGTGCAACTCCAAGCTGAGCTCTCATGTGCTGTACCCAGTGTATGGAGGGCATTAGGTTATGGACTCCCAACCTGCCATTTTCAGATCAGCAGCGGTTCAAAAAGCCAAGCTAAAAAGCCCTACCTCTTGACATAGCCTCTTGCCTGTAACAAAGTTACACTGTTTTGAGATCAGAGTTTGGAGTATGTGCTGAAAGATCTAATGTTCACAGGAACAGTTCTTTCCTGTGTCATTTAGTTGCCAACAAATGAGAGTTGCAACATGTAGGACATGGGAGGTGCTTATAGGGGATGCTGAGGGCAGAGGAATGGGTTAAAGATGTACCTTTCAAAAGGAGATGACTCTTGGGAAGAGAGGGAGGTACCCAAAGGTGCTTGGTGTTCATAGCCACACAACATGCCACAGAGATGTCTGGCAGTGCAGTTGGGCAAGAAAGCTCAGGTGAGGTGCTTCCTTTTCCTCATTTGTGTCTGAACAGCCAAATACTTAGAAAACTCAGTGTCAGGAAGAAAGTACACATTGAAAGTTTGTCCTTAGGTTTTGAAACCAGTTTTGTATCTTCCAGGAAAATACCCTACCCATCAGTCTGTTCTGACTTAGTAAAAGGGGCTCTCTATGTTAGCTATGTTAAAAACACTGTGTCTGGTAAGGGAGGCCGATTTCGAGTTCCCGTGTGAAGCTCGGACTCTGCCGTCAGAGCTGCCGTTGGGGAGCACCGCGGTCGGCTTCAGCACCATGGCCAGCACCAGGCTGCTCCCGCCGCCTCCCGGGCGCCTGGGTCTGGGAAATGGGGCTGCTGTTCGTATCTTCTTGGGGCAAATCCACCTCAGTCTGGATTTACATCGCTGAAAATATACTGATATACCTGATAGCCTTCTCCCATGGTCCTGTAAAACAGGAAATAAAACACAATAGTCCTGGCGTGCAAGTTCTGTGTAAGCAGAGCTTTAGGTTGGTGTAAATTGCTGTAGCTGTGCTGACTTTACGAAGACTAGTCTGATTTATATCAGCTGAAGATTAGCCATTATGAATGGTTTCTCCCACCTGATTGATCCATTCTTTTAACCTCTACTGGCTTTACTCAGAAGCTAGTAAGGCCTTCAAGCCTTAGCTTATCAATTGTAGTTGGATTTCTTCATGTACAGTAGAGAAAGAATACTCTTTATAAATGTATTTAAAAAAAAAAAAACCAAACACCGAAACGCACCACCATCCATGAAAATGCATTGTGAGAAACCGAGTGCTTTGGGTCAGGTTTATAACAGATACAAGCTGACCTCACTTGAGGTTCTGTCATCTTGATCACCAAACACCGAAACGCACCACCATCCATGAAAATGCATTGTGAGAAACCGAGTGCTTTGGGTCAGGTTTATAACAGATACAAGCTGGCTGCACTTGAGGTTCTGTCATCTTGATTTATTTCCCTGAGAAATAGTCCTTTAGTATAGTAGCTAATCTTACATGGGTTTATCAGAAAAGATCTGGCTTCTGAATACTATCTGAAAGTGTTGGCTAATTCTGCTCAACTTGGCAATTAAATTACCAGTGAAAGATTTGCTTTAAAATATGCTTTAAGGCGTAAGGAAATACTCAATTTCATTTTTGATTTTGGAGAAGTCTGAAGAATTTCCTTTAATAAATGCACCATTTTGCATATTCATAAAGGAGAAAATGCTAAACTCTCTTTTCAGATCTGCCCTGGTAGATCTTGTTCAATAACAGATCCATGCAATTTGTTTATTTTTTATGCTCACCTCTCAAATTATGAAATGTGTTCCTGCAAACTCCATCCAAGTGAGATGTCAAGCAAGGATATGTTCAAAGTACTAGGCAGTATTTTAACCATCTGTCCTCCTGTGCTTGTCATGGGTCACTTGCAGGCTAAACTTCAGACTGGTCGTTAAAAACAGTCACTGCTAATAGTGTCATTTCTTTTGGTGATAAAACCATATTAAGAACTGAATCTGCAACGTGCTGAGCATCCTTGGATGGAGTAGGAGGTGAGACTGCTCAACAGTTCCCAGGTGGTGCTAGCATTTTTCAAGATTGGGACTAAATGCACTAATACTTTCCTTTCAGAGTACGAAAAATATCCAGATGTATACTCTGCCTGGCTTTCTGTTATGGCAAAGTACTGCTCATAAAGATTACAGTTATAACCAGCTCTTGTGACTGTCATTCAAGGTCTTATATTTTGAGTGGTATTTCAAATGACTGTAAAAAATACTCTGAATTAAAATTCAGCATATGACATCTCTGCCAGAAGCTACTAAATGTTTTATTAGAGTTTGAGAAAATCTATTTGTATATTTCCCTCCTTTGTTTAGAGAGGATAAAATTAATGATTTTGTTTTGCTTTGTCTGCCCTGCTTTTTATTATCTTATGTATATTTCTCTGCTTATGCCAGATCTATGCTTGATACATCTGAGGCCAGATTCACTTCTGTTACAGGCAACTGTAATTTTCCTTGTGCGTGATTCTGGTGTTACATCTTGATTAGTCTGGAGTGTCTACTGCAGTGCTGTGAGATCCAAATCTGAGCATGGGATTTAATAGAAGATTATTGTAAAGTGGACATTTATCCTTACAAAAGATGCAGTTCATGTAAAAGTGCTCTTGTAGAGCCACTGAATACAAAGTCACTGCAGTCATTCATATTATTACTTTACCAGCCTGATACCTAATTTGTGACTTACTTTTATGTGGTACTTGGTTAAATTATACTTCTTGTGGTCAGTCTTAAAGCAGATTGCTCTGTTTTAACTTTTTTTTTTTTTTTTTAAAGTTATAAGAGGCTTTATGTGATACACTTGCAGCTTTTTTTTTGTAACATTTATAATCTTGCATGTTTTCTCAAGGTTGGGGAAAGTTTGCTCGCTTGACCCGTGCCCTCACAAGCAGCCGAGGTGTGCTGCAGCAGCTTGCTCCAAGTGTGCAGAAAGGAGAGAACGTTCACAAACATTCACGACTTGCTGAGGTAATGTTTTCTTTCCCTGAGAAACCATGAAGAAATTATTTTAGCCTTTGTGGGTGTGTTGTCTCTGCATGAGCCAAGCACTGTCTGTCCCCCTTGCCCTGGGAATCTGAAGCCTGGTGACAGACATGGGATCTCAGACTATGGAACATGTGCTGTGAAATGTGTCCTGTGACAGTGGAATGGAAACAGGTGTCCGAAAGACTTCATGTAACTTACTTGCAGTGTTGTGTTCTGTATCTCAGCAAAGTCTTATAGTGGCATCATTATTAAAGTAATACTTTCTTGCTTAGATTCCATTCTTCTGAGGATCTCGGTTGTTAGTAGGATCTTGGTCTATTCATTTGTGTAAAATTGAGATGAGAGAACCTCAGGTTAGTACAGAACCTCAGGTTAGTACAGAAGGAAATTCTGGGAAATATTTGACACTGTTCTCTGCATTCATTTATGCATAGTCCTTTTTCAGTGGGATTCCAACCCTGTGTTACAGACTGGTTGAAACATATGTTTAAGTTACTGGTTTATGGACAAAACAGCTGTAAGATGCCATATGCAACAATACAGACAGATTAGGAAAATGAAACTTTGTGATTTAAGTAGACTTTGAGAGTTTAGAGAAAAGTTCCAGGCAGAGAAGGCTCTTTGAAGTACTTGGAGTTTTAAGGCTTTTGCCACGAGGGGGAGAGACTGTCCCAAGTTTCCCCTAGCTGTCTCCTGGACCAGTAGCAGGGTCTCCCTGGTGTAAAAGCAGCTTAGGGAAAGCCTTGATGTGGTATTAATGACAGCATGGCCAACAAAACATGGCACTCCTGTTTCACCTATTGCTGTGAAAACCATGGCAGCAGCTGTGGCACTTGTCAATGATTCTTAATCTTCCTGTGTAGCTGGGGGTATAACCCATTGATGGGTTCCATGGCATCTCGATGTAGTCAGTACTCTGTTCATTTTGTCTTGTCTACATCTTGGTTTCTGTGCAAAATAAACAACTCCTGCCTTGGCCTGTTTTATTATAGAATCATAGAATGGTGTGGGTTGGAAGGGACCTTAAAAGATCATCTCGTTCCAACCCCCCTGCCACGGTCAGGGACACCTTCCACTAGACCAGGTTGCTCAAAGCCTCATCCAGCCTGGCCTTGAATGCTCCCAGGGGTGGGGCATCCACAGCTTCTCTGGGCAACCTGGTCCAGTGCCTCACCCTCCTCTCTGGGAAGAACTTCTTCCTGATATCTAATCTGAATCTACCCTCTTTCAATTTAAACCCATTACCCCTTGTCCTGTCACTACAGAGCCTTGGAAAAAGTCCCCCCCAGCTTCCTTGTAGGCCCCTTCAGGTACTGGAAGGTGCTATAAGGTTTCCCCGGAGCCTTCTCTTCTCCAGGCTGAACAAGCCCAGGTCTCTCAGCCTTTCTTCACAGGAGAGGTTCCCCAGCCCTCTTAGCATCTTTGTGGCTTTTCTATTGACTCGGTCCAACAGGTCCATGTCCTTCCTATGTTGGGGACCCCAGAGCTGAACACAGCACTCCAGGTGGGGTCAGGAGAGCAGAGTGGAAGGCGAGAATCCCCTCCCTTGACCTGCTGGCCACACTTCTCTGGATACAGCCCAGGGTAGAGTTGGCTTTCTGGGCTGCAAGCATACACTGGCTCTTGTTGAGCTTCTCATCAACCAACACCCCCAAGTCCTTCTCCTTAGGGCTGCTCTCCCTCCTTTCATCCCCCAGCCTGTATTGATCCTGGGGGTTGCCCAGACCTGTGTGCAGGACCTTGCATTTGTCCTTGTTGAACTTCTTGAGGTTGGTACAGGCCCACCTCTCCAGCCTGTCAAGGTCCCTCTGGATGGCATCCCTTCCCTCCAGTGTGTCGACCGCACCACACAGCTGGGTGTCGTTGGCAAACTTGCTGAGGGTGCACTCAGTCCAGCCATCTGTGTTGCTGACAAAGATGTTAAACAGCACCAGTCCCAATACTGACTCCTGAAGAATGCCACTCGTCACTGGATTCCACTTAGACATAGAGCCATCGACCACAACTCTTGGTGATAATCCAGCCAATTCCTTATCCACCGAGTGGTCCATCTGTCAAATCTGTGCTTCTCCAATTTAGAGACAAGGATGCCATGTAGTACAGTGTCAAATGCTTTGTACAGGTCCAGGTAGGTGGTGTCAGTTGCTCTTCCCTTATCCATCCTTCCCTTATCCACCCTTATCATATGTGACGATGAAATTCCCCTGGATGGGTGTTTACCAGTTATTTAATACAGATGCACTCAAGAATGGAAGAATGATTTTGGTTGGGAGTACAGAAATAACATAGATCATACTAGAACAGGGGAGGCTCAGACATTCACATGGACACTATACTGTAGGAGTACCATGTGATTATCACATGCCCACCCTGAGATTGCTTTAGTGTTCTGGAATTTGAATAGTCTCCTTTCTAATCCTTCTCAAAGTTTAGCATCAAATAATCTTTCCTTCTCCCTTGAATTGAATTTTAGTTTATGCTAAAGTGTAGGCAGTAGAATGGAAGGCAGGGTCTCTGAGGTTATTCTGTTTAGCTCAGCGAACCTCAGTCTGGACCTAAGTGACTACAGATTACTGGAACTTCTTGCAAGCTGATGTGCTCAACAAGTCTTTGCAAGTATTCTAACTGGCACAGCCAGTTGATTCATTACAGATAATAAAGGGCAAGTGTATAGTTTACGTATCTAAATGAGTTTCTTTAATTGCTGACTGAATATTGCAGTCATTATTTTAAAAAGAACATTAGCCCCAGCTGTGATGTTAGGTACCTTGTTGTATATCTGCTGTAATTCCACTTAAGTCAATAGAACTACAGTAGGGAAAAACAGAGTGCAGATAATCATACAGACAAGCCCACTTTTCTTCCTTTGAAGACTTAACGGGGTGCCAGGCTTCTTATTCTGGAAAGAACTTTTGATAATATTGAACATGGGATCTCTAACTGTTCCCTGTTGTATTTTCAATTTTCTTTTTTCTTCATCTCTGCAGTACCTAATTTGAAATCTTAAGTTCAAATCAAAATTGTCCTTTTTCTTTCCCTCCTCACTATGGCATTTCACATCAGTCTTGTTTGCTCAAGAAGGGTCTTCATTTATTGGAATATTATTTGTGTTGCTCTTAGTTCTTTATCACTTGTTTTTGAATATCTGAGGAGCCAGTTGTGTCCTAGAACCTGAGTGGGACAAAGTGTTGTAGACATACAAAACAGGAGCCTTCTGCAAAAGCTTACGATTTCTTTTACTGTTTATGAAATATTAATTTAAGAAAGGTGTTAGTGACACACTGCTTGGTATTACCTATGGCCCATGGATAAAACAAGCAGTGCCTGTTAAGCCTCAGTCTCTGACTTTTGCCAGTATGTGTAGCTTTTATTTTTATTTTTTTAGCCCGACTTTTCTGACAGCAGTCATACAAAAACTGCTTAAATTAATTATGCAATTAATGCAAGGGTGTTAGGTAACGCTAAGAGTATGTTTTGCATTAAGGTCGTAAAGTAATTGGTACGTTTCTGTGGCTTTATCACCAAGGAGCTGATTGTAGGAACCATTCTTCCTGGTCAACGCATAGTATGCGTGTCCTCTGCACCTGTGGTGTTAGCTGCTGCATTCTGTATATTTACCAGGCAGTTCTGGGTAAACAAGATTGTGTCATCATTTAAAAAATGTGACAGTTATGAGAAATAAAAGCAGAAAAATTATAATGGTACTTAGCATCACTGCTTAATAATGGGGCTTCTGCCGTTTTCTTTGGTAAACCTTGTTTGCCAGGGACTTATAACTGTCTTTAAAATCTCCTTCAGGTTGAGGCTTAGCACTCGCCCTTGGCTTGGGAACAATCTGTATGTGTGCCTGTGAAAACAAAAGCGAGGGGGAGTGAGAGAAGGGAAATATGTGCAGTGGAAAACACAACAGAGATTAAGCTGAAAATGAATGATTGCGTTTTGTCCCCTGCTCCCTTCCCTTTACCTCTCATGTAGTCTTAGAAATAAATAAAGAGTTGTAATCACTCGTTGATTTGTTGATGCATTTTTACGAGTTCTGACTGGTGATACATTCACCATTTTTTAACAAATCTAGGATAATTTTTTTTATTTTGTTATGTTAAAAAATGACAGCCTTGTGAAACCCATGACGAAATTCATAATTTCGACTATTCAAATAATACTCTCTGGCTTTAGAGAGCTATTAAAACATCATGCATCATTACCACAAATAATAAACACAGATAATACAACTGGTAGTGGCTGATGAATCATAAGTAATTGGAATAATGCTTTCATTAATAACCTTCTGAAACAAATATTGCTTTTACTATGGTATAACTGCATAACAGGGAAAAATTTTTCCAAAACTGGGGCTGTTTCAGTTATTTAGAAAGTGACAGTAATAAAATATTGGTTCAGTGCACATGGGTGGAAGCTCAGCATATCGGTTTATATAGTTGTGTACATTTTCTTCATGATTGCTGTTATATTCATCTCTTGGTGGTTTCCCACCCCCCCTTCCCCTCTAGGAGAAGTACCCTTACAAGCAGTTTGAATCGAGTTAGCTTGTGTGGGTAGGTAACCACACCTGACTGCTTCAGCAAATATGTGTCTCAGGTTGGCACTACTCTACATAGAAGCTGGAGTGCAGCAAGAGCACCTTGGAATAGGGCAGAAGGTGCTTCTCTTTGGATCCACCTGGCTTTGCTACATGGTGCAGAGAGTGGGGTTTGTAGCTCCTAATCTCCCCATGACCCAGGGGTGGTGTGTATCTCTGGAAGGACAGTGAAGAAATACTGTGTGTGGTCCTTGGTGTGACAAGCGGAGGAAAGACCTCTCCTAACTTCCAGTGCAGCAACCTGACAAAACCTAGATCTTTAGCACTAAGCTCGATGGACCTCCTTCCATTATTTCTGTACAGCACTGAGCTCTCTTGTACTGAAAGTGCATGCTCGCTCTCTAATTAAGCTTTCCTATAGCGTTTTTCTCTTCCTTCAGTTAAAAGAAGAATTTGTTGCTTTTGAAAACTCTTGTCTGGCAGTCTGGAAACTGCAAGACCTTTGCTAATCTGTAAAGCAAGTTTCCTTTCCTGGGAGACGTAGCGTGAGCTCGGACAGTGCCCTTCTTCCATCTGAGGCTGTGAAATGACAGTTCATCTCTAGCAGTGCCGTCAAGACGGAGTGGTTTTGCAAGGTGCATGTTAGTGATGTAGTGAGAGGGTGCTACCACCCAAATAAGAGACTGGAGACATTCGGGCTTGCTGCAGGAGGCTTTTCCCAGACCTCGTGAGTGATTGATATCCTTAAGCCATTCCTTGATGCCCATCTCCTGCCCTGTCCCTGCCCCTCCTGTTGAGATTCATACCCACACAGCTGGTGCATATCCTTCCACTGGAGACCCGCTAAAGCTATGGCCCCTGGTCACTTTAAATAGCCATTGGTAGTGCTTAACCAAAGACTTCAAGGTGGTAATGGAAGTTCAAAAGTCTTATTAATAAGGTCCCTAGCCATTCAGGTAGTTTAGAGTACATTTACTTTCTAAATAGAAAGGGAGGGAGACATCAATCCTTTTGTTTTCCTGTGTTGTAGCCCTTGAATCTCCAATAAGCTGGGGGAGAGTGCTTTGTACTTGGTGATGACATTTTAAAACACTGAAGCAACAAAGTTGTTTATTTTCTTAACAAGTTGAAGCTAGAAGTCTGTTTTTCTCTGCGTTCAGTTCAGTTTTACTTCCCTGCAGTTCCACTGGATTTACTATAGCTTTTTTTGATTTACAGTAAAATAACGGACACCATAATTTATGCCCTTCTTTATTGCCAAACAGAAATTGTTCTTGCCTTTTTTTTTCTATTGTTCAGGTATATGGGAATACATTAGTACATTTTCCAGTAACTTCAGTTTGGATGCTGCAAAATTTCCACAAGTCCTTGGAGTACAAGGAGACCAGTGGTGGTCAAAATGGGGTGCATTATACAATTCTCAGTCTAGACCTTATGTACGTATATGTAAGAATCAATCTGACAAGAACTAACAAACTTTTTTTTTTCCCAGTGTTTCATGGCTGAGGTTCCTGTGCCAATTAAAATGGTTACCAAAATGTTTGACTTTTTTTATATAAAATCAGAAGCTAAAAAGTAAGCTCTAGGAGCCACGTGATTGCAAAAGAAGCAATTATATTTTCACCCTGCATTTAAGGGGTGATACAATCTCCCCACATTAGTAAAATCTCAGCATTAGTTCTGAAATCCAGTTAACTGACTGAAAAATGTGATAGAAAGTGCTTGGTTTTGCTGATCAGTTACTCCAGTGAGTGAATATTGCAGAGGAATCTCCTTGTTCAGTTAAGTGTATTCCAGGCTTGGGATCTTCTGTTAGAGCTGCTACTCATGCAGATCCTCATAAAAGCCAGTAGTAGCTCAGTGCTTTCCAACTGATTCAGGCACAGCTGCAGTGTTCAAAAGGGAGGGCAGGAGATATTTGCAATATTGATCTAGGCCTAGAGCTTTTGCTGAGGAAAGACATCCTAACATTTGTAGCTGGGACTGCAAACAAGCCCTGAAGGGAGCAACCCTCTGAGTACACATACTAACTGAGTACACAAGCTATGCCTCTTCCAATCACTACCAGTGACTGCTGGGGACTGCACTGGCTGGCCAGTGCCTCTTGCAGAGAAGGGGCTGCTTCTGACTTCTGCTGCTTCCAGCTCCTCTCAGCACAAGGCAACTCTAAAGAAAATTTTTATGGAGAACCTGTGTGAATCAGGATCAGGAGTGGCCGAGTACTTCATACTGCAGTGGACATGCCCGAGTCCTGGTTTGGCCTGCAGGGGTTCTACGTAGGGGAAAATGTTCCTTTTCTCGCATTGCTGTCATTCTGGAAGCTTAGTGAAACAAAAATCCTAAGTCCTCTTTTTTTGGGGGGGGATCGGGGAGGTGGGGGAGGTGGTGTTGATGCCTCTGTGCTAACATGCAGGTCTCTGAGCAGGTCATGCTACTTCTTTTCTGGAGAGCATGTTGGTCTCAAAGTCAGCAGGCTTGTGACTCCCATTGTCATTTATGCATGTGCAAGGGGCTGTGATCCAGCACCCCTGTTGTGCACAAGAGGAAGTGATTATGTGAGGTTCAAAGCAGCAGGGACCTTGATCTAAAGCTGTTTTGTCCATCTAGGACTCTTGTAGCTGATTGGTTTATTTTGTTTTCTTTG